GTGATGTTGAGGATGTCCCCAGGGAGCACTGGGATATGGTTCATAGAGATGTGAGGGCCTGGTGATGTTGAGGATGTCCCCAGGGAGCACCGGGATATGGTTCATGGAGACATGAGGGCTCAGTGATGTTGAGGATGTTCCCCAGGAACAGGGATTTCATTCATAGCTCAACACAGAGGTCAGTTTAAGTGACAGAACATCTGAGGTACAAATGAGTGTCCTACCCTGGTCCCGATGGTGTTGTGGTTCCTGGAGAAGGGGTAGAAGGCCCCCAGCTGCATCCAGCGGACACACATCTCATATTCTGCGTCTTGAAAGAACCCACAAATATCTGCTCCCGTCTACAACAAAATGGAATAACAAGACCCCGTTGGTGATTTCTGGAAGATGTTGCCATCTGCTCGGGGATCAGGAGTGACCCAGGGGAAACTTACATAGGATATGCCAAAGAGGCTAAACTCCATCATGCCTGCAACGAGAACCAGCACCCATCAGCGGAGGGGCCGGGGTACTCGGTAGTCTCCTCCTCCCTCATCAGTCCTCCATCGAGGCCCGTCCCCACTCACGGGCCCCAGGAATGAGCCGCCTCACCGATGATGGATTTCTTCAGCTGGTTCCACGCAGACGTGTTATCTCCCAGCCAGTGTCCTGCCCAGCGGCCAGAGGAGGGGAAGGTGGAGCGGGTGATGATGATGCCTCGCTCCCCTGTCACCTCCTGCACAGCTCTGGGTGGAGGGGACAAGGAGGTGAGTGGGACAGCACAGGGGAGGAGGGCCACTGAGCTTCTCCTCAGAGAACCGGGGACCTAGGGCAGGGACAAGATGCTTCCTGTCTGTCTGGAGGAGCATGGGCCTCAGAGCGGGAACAAGGGCTCCCCACTTCCTCAGGAGCCTACAGAGATAGTAACAGTACAGCGTGCTTTCACACAGCGCTTTCCAGAGAGCTTTACCATGGAGGGGCCGGGGTGCTGCACGCCGCTTGCAACTGGCTGCTAACCCGAAGGCTGGCAGCTGGAACCCAACCAGTGCTTCCACGGAAGAAAGGCCTGGTTATCAGCTTCTATAAAGATTACAGCCAAGAAAACCCGATGGGGCAGTTCTACTCTGTAACACATGGGGTCGCCAGGAGTCGGAATCAACTTGAGGGCCGCTCACAACAGCAACAAGCTCACCAGTTTCCCTAAAACGTAAGTAATCACTACCTCTCACTCCTTACTGACCCCGTACTTCATTTTTCGTATTTCAGGAAGAAGTGGATTTCTCTAAATGGTTTTCCTTTGGATAATTGTTATTATTCTTCGACTGAGCTCACAAAATGGGACTGTGTTGATTCAGGAGAAAACCAGTTGGGTATCAAATAAGAATGACCAGAAAAAAAAATGGCAGTAGCAATGGTCCACTTCTGAAATAAAAGAGCAAGGCCCAGCCCTCTAAGTGACAATGGCCTGGCCGCACTGCGTACTGACTGCTGGTGCCTCCACGTCTGTCCTCAGCGTGACCAGCCCCTCACTGCAGGCCTGTGCCTTACTTATTAAACCTGCCCTCCTGACTATGCCCACAGGGCCCGGCTCCGAGCTCCATGCATGTTTGTTTAAGGAATGAGAACTGCTATTTCGTCACTGTAATTAACTCCTCTTAGCCCTTGGACAGGGGTGAGAGGAAGGCAGGTCGCCACTGTATCACCGGTGTCCCCCCATGTGTGCTGGCTGTGGGGAGCCGCGACTCACTCGTAGGTGGGCCTGGTCTGGGACCAGCCGTACAGGCTGTGCACGTCGTAGTGCCGCACCAGGGAGCCGTCCGGCAGCACCTGCTGGCTCTCCATGCACAGCGTCTTGCTGCTCAGGCCGCTGTCCCTGGACTCCAGAGCTGAGGGAAAGAGAAAGACGTGGAAACCACCGGACGCTGCTTCACCCCCGACGTCTCTTCAGGGATCGACTGAGCCCTGGCCTGGCCTACCCTCCTCCCAGGGCCTGGGAACAGGCCTCTGTAGAAGCTGCCACGGGGTCTGCAGGGGCTTCGACACGACGCACCCCTGCAGAGCCCTCCAGAAGACAGGGCCTGGGAGAAGCCACCCCGCAGAATGCTCACTGTGCCTCATCCTGATCTAGACTTTTAACATGAAATTATGTCATGGGATCCTTATCAGAACTTTGGGAAGGAGATATCACTATCCTCTTTACAGCTCAGAGCACTGAGATTTGGAGACATTACGTAATTTCTCGAAGGCCACACGATACACAGAATAATTTCTGGAGCTAAGATACGAGAGCATGATGCCCAAGTCCACTGACCCCATGATAAGGGGAGCCTCAATTTTCCACCCGTCTGTGGCCCATGCCTTCCTGCAGAGACATTAACACATGCAGGAAAGAGTAAGAACCCTGGCCAAGAGAGCCCCTTGGAGACGTTACCACAGTCAAGTGCTTTCAAGCAGATTCCAAAAATTCATCCAACGGTACCACTGATTCACACACACCACAACGGTAAAGGGCTGGGAGTGCCTTTGTCTTTGGCACCCCAATAAACCACTGCAGCAGTGAGGATGAGCACGAGAAGTCGGGGCACACCCCGGGCCCTGGGCTAACGCAGGGGCCACCTTCGTCGCAGCCAGGCTGGTCATGGAGGAGGCCGTGGTCCTCACCTGGCATGTACGGGGGGTGGTTGAGGGTGGAGTCTTTGCAGCCCGGGGGGACGGCCCCGTTGACAAAGCTCGAGGGCTCATTCATGTCCTGGAGATGGAAACAAGACAGACCTTGTTTTTAAATAGTCGTATCCTGCCAATTCAGAGACGGAGTGGTGAACAACACGGTCACCATCTAGCGATCATTCCGGTCACAGCAGGGGGACTTGTGGAGCCCTCATGGGCTGTGCCTACAAAGGCTCATCACCCCGACAGAATAACCGGCTCGAGGGTAACATAACCACCCTCGGTGTGAAGCAAGGCTCAGATTCAAGGAATGCCTCGTAATCACACTGGAGGCTTTACCGGCAGGGGGCAAGGTGTGCAGGGTCAGAGCTGCTCTGCTCCCGACTGGAGGGGCTGCGGGCCGACTGGTCCAAAGTCTTTCTTGGATAATTATTACCCCCTTGACTAAAGGTTAGTGATACATATGCTTAGATACACAGAGAAGGCAACACACATACACATGTGCACACATACCACATACATGTGCCACACACACCACAAACATACATGTACACACACAGGCAATGCCCATGCACGTGTGCACACACATACCACATATATACCACACACGGCCCACA